TTCTACGAGATTGTATTATATTTTTAAAAGTTTAAGTATTTAAAATGTATTAAAAATCAAGTCTATATCATGATGTGCCATCTCCCGTAGTGTCATGTAAGAATATTCGAGAAAGTTTAGGGGCGATTACTCCCGGTTTATTTAACGTAGGCCTACTCATTTAATCTATATATATAAAGCAAAATGGTCAAGTGCCCGTTAGGGCACTTCCCGGTTCCGCAGGCGCATCAAATTTGGCACGATGGTGCGATAGAACACGACGGCCCGTGACTGTTCGCCAAAAAGTCGACGGAGAGGGGGGTCAAAACTGACCTCGACCGACCGGCGCCTTATTTGGGCTATATAATGAAAAAAAATGTCCTCCGACGACCCACTTAGAAATTTTGTGAGGTGGTAGGAAAACGCCTTGGGGTGTCACAAAAAACTCGCCATGTCCGGGAAAATTCGTTAAATGGGTCAAAACTGACCAGTCGCATTTCCCTATATAATCTTTGTATTTTATTGGAGAAACAGAGGGTGATTTCAAAACGGATTTTAGGGCACTTACCTTCTTTACATCTGGCTAATTTTTTATACACCTCTATAGATGACTACGCCGTATGGAAAAACTGTTGGTCAGACTTAAAGCCCTCTAAGAGGGCTAAAAAGTGACCGCGAATGAAATTCTCATTATACGAGATTTGGTCATTTGGTCTATGAACAGGGGATGTAACTTTGTAATGTAATAATTTTTAAATATTTTCTATACTCTTTTCAAGAAAAAACAAAAGCCTATAACGTAAGTACTTTTTCAGATAGATGAATAAAATTTTACATACACGTAAAAGATATAATTCTCTGTCTTCTGTCAAATATAGAGTGATTTTTGCTGAATGGAAGTAGTAGTTTATGCTATTGCCAATTTCTCAAAAAAAAAAACGCACATGAATCCTTAAGTACTAATAATATCCCGCACTATTTTGCACATTTTGTTTGGCATTCGCTTGGTGTGCAATTTTTTTTTCAATTAGATTCTTTTCTTTTTAAAAAATTTAAGTAATTATAAATGGTTAAAAATATTTATCCTATATATTCTTTTTCTACTTTCTCGTATACAATGTATAGAGAAAGTATTGTAATCGTGCCAAAAAAAACCTAGATTTTTGCAAATCTCGACGTTTTACACCTCACTGAGTCGGAAAAACATACTTTTACAATCTTGTCCATTTGTGTGTGTGTGTATGTGTGTGTGTGTCTGTATGTGTCTGTAAACACGATAACTTGTGTACCCTTAAGTATTATATCAAATTTGTAGATCCGTTTCAACTTTTCAGTAATTTCCGATAAACGGAAGTGTAATTTTTTCTACTTTTAATTTTTCAAAAGCCTATAACTTGAGTAGTATTTCAGATAGATAAATGAAATTTCACATGTAAGTACAAGATCTAACTCTCGGTCTTCTGTTAAAGTTTGAGTAACTTCCGTTGACCAGAAGTAGTAATTTAGGCTATTTCCAATTTCTCAAAAAACGCATATGAATTTATAAAGTACTAATAATATTCCGCACTATTTTAACATTTTTTTTGGCGTTCACTTGGCGTGCAGTTCTTTTTTCTACGAGAATGTATTATATTTTTAAAAGTTTAAGTAATTAAAAATGGATTAAAAATCAAGTCTATATCGTGATGTGCCATCTCCCGTAGTATCATGTAAGAATATTCGAGAAAGTTTTGGGGCGATTACTCCCGGTTTATTTAACGTAGCCCTACTCATTTAATAATATATAAATATACATTCTTAATAATTATTATCTTCAAATGCACTTAAAAAAACGAAACAAAACAGACCTGATTTGTTAAGTCAATGTATTTTTCGATCAAATATGTAATAGACTTCATGCGTAATGCTTTTTTTAATGAAAGCACGATTGTTTAAAATTTTTAGTGCATTTGAAAGGTTATTATTATAAAGGTATTTATATTAGAGTTTTAAAAATTTATTTTAGTAAATTTAAATTTTAAAAAGTGAACTAGTACGTTGGTATTTATGTTTTTAAAATAAAGAAGTAGGCCTATTGATTTTATTCCGCTAGTTCTTACTGAAGTCGGCATTGAATAGTATTTTTAAAAAAGCAGACAGATGGACTGACTAATTAACAAGCAAGGAATTTAATTTTAATTAGATAATTGAAAAAAATATTCAAAACAAAATGGTAAGAAATAATTACCCAATCATGAATGTATCCTCCTACCTGAGGATAAAATTATGTGTTGCAAATAAGATTTCAAAGCATACTGAAGTAATTTTACAGTTAGCAATTTATAAAAATATATTTTTGTCACAATAGAAAAAATATTATTGTCACGAAGGGGATGGTATAGAAAAATGAATGTTTCATAAGTAAATAATAAAAATTGTTTTTACAACTTTTACCTATCCCTCTTTAAATACGAGCGTTCTATTTTAGATACATATATTATCATCTTGACCACAATACCTATAAAAGTAAAGTGGTGATGTT